AACGATATCGATCAATACTTGATACACTTAAATCACTTTTACCTGATATTATTTGTTTACAAGAAGTAACTGTTAATTTTCTTAATCTTCTTTTAAATGAAATATGGTTAAAAGAAAATAATTATTATATTATTATTATGAAAAATGTTATTAATAGTAATCAAGATAAATCCTATGGACAATTAATGATTATGAAAAATTTTCGACCAAGATCATTTTCAATATGTCCACTTGATATTTCAGATGATGATAAAACAATAACAAAAGAATTAATTATAGCTCGATTTGGTTTAAATAGTAAAATAACAATTGATCTTGTTAATCTTCATTTACACAATGATCGTTCTCATAATTCAAATGAAAAACGTTGTCAAGCTTTAGAAAATATTTTTAAAAAAATGAAAACAAATAATTATATGCTTATTGGTGATTTTAATTTTGGAGATTATGATTTAAAAGAACAAAATATTCTTGCTACATATGAAAATGAAGTACATGATTTATGGAAAGATATTTATCATCTTGATCAAGTAAGATATTTCGATTTTCAAGGGTGTGAATTTTATTCAATAATAGTATTTTCACCCTCTCGTTCGAATCCAAACTTTGTTGAACATTTGGACAATAAGATAGTCTATCGAAAATTGTACTACGACTTGATAGACCTTTCTTGTTTATACAGTTATCTTGAATTATTCAAGATTGACTTTTAATCATTTTTCCTCTTTATATGAGTAAAGACGATTTTCAAATCAAAACTATTATGTATTTACAATCAAACAATCTGATAGAAAAATCTACGTTACCAATTAAGATTATTTTGCTTTTTAGAATCCTGGTTTTACATTTGATCCATCAAATAATCTTTGTGCCCGAATTACATCTGATTCACAAATAAATCGTCGTTTAGATCGATATTTAATACATACATTAGATAATATATCTTACTCAATTGAATATCTTTTAATGATTGGTATTGAAACAATTCCAATTGATCCATTGAATATTGATAATAACCAACGTATTAATCAATCGGATCATTATGCTTTACAATTAATTATTAATTTTCGAACAAGATCAATAAGTCATCATTCAGCACTTGCCATTTTACCAACAATAAATACGTGGCCATTAATTAATTCATATCGTGAACAATATGATCCATCATTGAATCGATGGCCTCCACACATTAATTTATTATGGCCATTTTTTGATTT